AGTGTTTCACTTTAGGGAGCGCTATGGCAACCCTTCCCTTCTGCCTCTCCCCCAAAGTGTTCCACACCCCTAGGCCTTGGACAGGACACAAGATGAGAGGGCCGAGGATTCTTCCTGGTCACACAAGCGTTAGGCACTAGAGGTCAGAGGTCAGTATGCGTCTACATTGTGTGAACCGGCAGAGCCTATAGGACGGACACACTCACTCATTGGGGGGGGGGGGGGTTTGTGGTGGAGCTGTGACCAATTTCATCTGAATGAAAGACGAGCCGGCAAATTCGAGGGAGGGGGAGGGAGAGATGGACTTCAGAAAATGTTTGTTGCGCTACAGCCTGAATTTAAAATGGATTCAATTGCTATTTCTTGTCACTGGCCTACACACAATAACTCATAATGTCAAAGTGGAATTATGTTTATCTACATTTTTACAAATTAACAAATGAAAAGCTGAAATGGGTTGAATACCTATTTACTCAAGACATTTGTTATGGCAAGCCTAAATAAGTTCAGGAGTAAAAATGTGCTTAATAAGTTGCATGGATTCACTCTTTGTGCAATAATAGAGAAACATTTTTGGTTCCCCACACATTCATTTATCTGTAAGGTCGAGCAGTGAATTTCAAACACATTCAACCACAAAGACCAAGGAGGTTTTAATAATAATAATAATACCATTTAGCAGACGCTTTTATCCAAAGCGACTTACAGTCATGTGTGCATACATTTTTTTGTGTATGGGTGGTCCCGGGGACCGAACCCACTACCTTGGCGTTACAAGCGCCGTGCTCTACCAGCTGAGCTACAGAGGACCACAATGCCTTACAAAGATGGGCACCTATTGGTAGATGGGTAAAAAAAATAAAAAAGCAGACATTGAATATCCCTTTGAGCATGGTGAAGGTATTAATTACACTATGGATGGTGTATCAATACACCCAGTCACTACCTTCCTAACTCAGTTGCCAGAGAGGAAGGAAACTGCTTAGGGATTTCACCATGAGGCCAATGGTGACTTTAAAACTGTTACAGAGTTTAATGTATTTGACAGGAGATAACTGAGGATGGATCAACAACATTGTAGTTAATCCACAACACTAACCTAATTGACAGAGTGAAGAGAAGGACACCTGTACAGAATAAAAATATTCCAAAACATGCTTCCTGTTTTCAACAAGGTACTGAAGTAATACTGCAAAAGATTTGGCAAAGCAATTATATTTTTGTTATGGGTATGCTTGCAATAATTAAAGACGGGAGTTTTTCAGGATAAACAAAGAAACGGAATGGAGCTAAGCACAGGCAAAATCCTAGAGGAAAACCTGGTTTAGTCTGCTTTCCAGAAGACACTGGGAGATGTTCACCTTTCAGCAGGACAATAACCTAAAACAGAAGGCCAAACCTACACAAGTTGCTTACCAAGAAGACGGTGAATGTTCCTGAGTGGCCGAGTTACAGTTTTCACTTAAATCTACTTGAAAATCTATGGCAAGACCTGAAAATGATTTAACAACCAATTGGTCAGAGCTTGAAGGATTTTGAAAATAATAATGGCCATATGTTGCACAATCCAGGTGTGGAAAGCTCTTAATCGCGGCCAAAAGGTGCTTCAAGTAATGTCTCGGGTGTGAATACTTATGTAAATAAATACAAATCTAAACATGTTTTCACATTGTCATTATGGGGTATTGTGTGTAAATGGGTGATGAAAAAAGTATATATAATCCATTCTAAGTTCAGGCTGTAACAAAACAACGTGGAATAAGTCAAGGGGTATGAATACTTTCTGAAGGGGTTGGTGGATGTTGAGTAGGTTTTTGTAGTTTGATTTATTGATACTATCTGTGACTGACTGTAGAAGTGTGTTCCTTTAGATTATTCAATGTCCAGTTTTATAGGCTAGCAGTGCTAAAATAGGAGAGGTGATTATTTTAATGAAGAGTGCATTGACAGGATCTAGCAGTGTGGTTATTCATAGAAATCAATAAAGTATGTCTGTGGATGAGGTAGAGAGAAACACTAACAGTAGGATCCTTTCCTCTCTGTGATTTTAGTGAAGACTGTAACAGTAGGATCCTTTCCTCTCTGTGACTTTAGTGAAGACTGTAACAGTAGGATCCTTTCCTCTCTGTGACTTTAGTGAAGGCCGTAACAGTAGGATCCTTTCCTCTCTGTGACTTTAGTGAAGACTGTAACAGTAGGATCCTTTCCTCTCTGTGACTTTACTGAAGACTGTAACAGTAGGATCCTTTCCTCTCTGTGACTTTAGTGAAGGCCGTAACAGTAGGATCCTTTCCTCTCTGTGACTTTAGTGAAGACCGTAACAGTAGGATCCATTCCTCTCTGTGACTTTAGTGAAAACTGTAACAGTAGGATCCTTTCCTCTCTGTGACTTTAGTGAAGACTGTAACAGTAGGATCCTTTCCTCTCTGTGACTTTAGTGAAGGCCGTAACAGTAGGATCCTTTCCTCTCTGTGACTTTAGTGAAGACCGTAACAGTAGGATCCATTCCTCTCTGTGACTTTAGTGAAAACTGTAACAGTAGGATCCTTTCCTCTCTGTGACTTTAGTGAAGGCCGTAACAGTAGGATCCTTTCCTCTCTGTGACTTTAGTGAAGGCCGCAACAGTAGGATCCTTTCCTCTCTGTGACTTTAGTGAAGACTGTAATAGTAGGATCCTTTCCTCTCTGTGACTTTAGTGAAGACTGTAACAGTAGGATCCTTTCCTCTCTGTGACTTTAGTGAAGATTGTAACAGTAGTTCGTTTTTTTCTTCCTCTCTGAAACTCTGGTGAAGCGCATTTTCAGGTTTCTAAACTCCTTGAGCGGTAGTCTAATCCCTCAGCAGGTTCTCAGGTTTCTAAACTCCTTGAGCAATAGTCTAATCCCCCACCAGGTTCTCAGGTTTCTAAACTCCTTGAGCAGTAGTCTAATCCCCCAGCAGGTTCTCAGGTTTCTAATCTCCTTGAGCAGTAGTCTAATCCCCCAGCAGGTTCTCAGGTTTCTAAACTCCTTGAGCAGTAGTCTAATCCCCCAGCAGGTTCTCAGGTTTCTAATCTCCTTGAGCAGTAGTCTAATCCCCCAGCAGGTTCTTCAGGTTTCTAAACTCCTTGAGCGTAGTCTAATCCCCCAGCAGGTTCTCAGGTTTCTAATATCCTTGAGCAGTAGTCTAATCCCCCGGTTCTCAGGTTTCTATATCCTTGAGGCATGTCTAATCCCCCATAGGTTCTCAGGTTTCTAATCTCCTTGAGCAGTAGTCTAATCCCCCAGCAGGTTCTCAGGTTTCTAAACTCCTTGAGCAGTAGTCTAATCCCCCAGCAGGTTCTCAGGTTTCTAAACTCCTTGAGCAGTAGTATAATCCCCCAGCAGGTTCTCATGTTTCTAAACTCCTTGAGCAATAGTCTAATCCCCCAGCAGGTTCTCAGGTTTCTAAACTCCTTGAGCAGTAGTCTAATCCCCCAGCAGGTTCTCAGGTTTCTAAACTCCTTGAGCAATAGTCTAATCCCCCAGCAGGTTATCAGGTTTCTAAACTCCTTGAGCAGTAGTCTAATTCCTCAGCAGGTTGCCAGGTTTCTAAACTCCTTGAGCAATAGTCTAATCCCCCAGCAGGTTATCAGGTTTCTAAACTCCTTGAGCAGTAGTCTAATCCCCCAGCAGGTTATCAGGTTTCTAAACTCCTTGAGCAATAGTCTAATCCCCCAGCAGGTTATCAGGTTTCTAAACTCCTTGAGCAGTAGTCTAATCCCCCAGCAGGTTATCAGGTTTCTAAACTCCTTGAGCAGTAGTCTAATCCCCCAGCAGGTTCTCAGGTTTCTAAACTCCTTGAGCAGTAGTCTAATCCCCCAGCAGGTTCTCAGGTTTCTAATCTCCTTGAGCAGTAGTCTAATCCCCCAGCAGGTTCTCAGGTTTCTAAACTCCTTGAGCAGTAGTCTAATCCCCCAGCAGGTTATCAGGTTTCTAAACTCCTTGAGCAGTAGTCTAATCCCCCAGCAGGTTCTCAGGTTTCTAATCTCCTTGAGCAGTAGTCTAATCCCCCAGCAGGTTCTCAGGTTTCTAAACTCCTTGAGCAGTAGTCTAATCCCCCAGCAGGTTCTCAGGTTTCTAAACTCCTTGAGCAATAGTCTAATCCCCCAGCAGGTTCTCAGGTTTCTAAACTCCTTGAGCAGTAGTCTAATCCCCCAGCAGGTTCTCAGGTTTCTAAACTCCTTGAGCAATAGTCTAATCCCCCAGCAGGTTCTCAGGTTTCTAAACTCCTTGAGCAGTAGTCTAATCCCCCAGCAGGTTCTCAGGTTTCTAAACTCCTTGAGCAGTAGTCTAATTCCTCAGCAGGTTGCCAGGTTTCTAAACTCCTTGAGCAATAGTCTAATCCCCCAGCAGGTTATCAGGTTTCTAAACTCCTTGAGCAATAGTCTAATCCCCCAGCAGGTTATCAGGTTTCTAAACTCCTTGAGCAGTAGTCTAATTCCTCAGCAGGTTGCCAGGTTTCTAAACTCCTTGAGCAGTAGTCTAATCCCCCAGCAGGTTCTCAGGTTTCTAAACTCCTTGAGCAGTAGTCTAATCCCTCAGCAGCACACCTCTACAGCCTCTCAGCCCACGTCCACAGGGTCGACCCACAGCCCCAGTACTCCTGAGGGCGGTTCGTTTCTGAAGAGGACAGGCATGCACTTGGCTCAGCAGAGGAAGCACTGACTGGACGATCTCTCGCTCCCCCCCCCCCCCCCACTGTGTTCTCATGAAACAGGACAGGTTCTACTTGTAATTAACATAAACACTAAAAAGCAGCTTGCAGTACTAAATCACACTTTTGTATATGTCCCTATGAGTTCTACCTCTTACCAGAAATGTCATTTCAGTTTAAATAGTTTTTTTTTGTATCACTTTGTGTTAAACACACTCCCAATCAACAGCCAATACAAGGAGTAAACCAAAGAGACGTCATGGAAGAAAATGAGAAGACTGACAACCCAATGTCCCTACCAGGATGAAAGAGGCGGTTTTGTAGAGATGGTGGGGGGTGGTATTCATGGCCGTTTATGGCTGCGCCTGTGGCCACAGGAGTCTAGACTACTAACTTATAGAATATTAGGGTGAATGGGAAAGTGTGGACTGAGACTGGGTCTAGGCTGGAGTGGGCTGGGCCTGTCCTATACTAAAGCAGCTGGAGTAGTGGGTGGGTGGGAGTGAACAGAACAGCAGTTGTTTCCTTTTCTGGTTGTTAGACGCCATTACAGCCTGTGTGTTAACTGCCTCCTCTGGCCTGCTATGGCCTGCTGGGGTGATTGGTTGGCCTGCTATGGCCTGCTGGGGTGATTGGTTGGCCTGCTATGGCCTGCTGGGGTGATTGGTTGCTGGCTGGGCTCTGTATGTCTCTCCTCTACAGGGTTAATGGTAGGCTGCAGTATCAGCAGTAAAACTCACACTTGGTGAAGAGCCCCAATATATATATATATATATATATATATATATATATATATAGATATATATAGATATATAGATATATATATAGATATAGATAGATAGATAGACACACACACACCGGTTCAGCTGGCCTTGAGACGAGGGGGGGGGTGGGAGGGAGGGAGAGGAGGGAGGGAATGAGGATAAATGTGAGTGATGAAATTGCAACAGTGTGGGAAAGAGTGAGAGGCAAGGAAAAACCAAGGATTAAAGAGAGAGATGGAGGGGGGGGTAAGAGATGTGGAGGGGGGGAAGAGATGTGGAGGGGTGAAGAGATGTTGGGGAGAAGAGGGAGATGTGGAGGGGGGAGATGGAGGGGGGGAAAGAGAGCGATGTGGGGGAGAAGAGAGATGTGGAGGGGGGGAGATGAGAGAGATGTGGAGGGGGTAAAGGGAGATGGAGAGGGGGAAAGAGAGAGATGGAGGGGGGAAAGAGATGGAGGGGTGGAGGGAAGAGGGAGATGGAGGGGTGGAAGAGAGATGGATGTGGGGGAAAGAGAGATGTGGGTGGAAAGGGAGATGGAGGGGGGGAAGGGAGTGATGTGGAGGGGGGAGAGAAGAGAGAGATGGAGGGGGAAGAGATGGAGGGGGGGATGGAGAGAGGGAAAGAGATATGTGGGGGAAAGAGATATGTGGGGGAAAGAGATATGTGGGGGAAAGAGATATGTGGGGGAAGAGAGATGGAGAGGGGGAAAGAGAGAGATGGAGGGGGGGAAAGAGAGTACTGGTACCCCGTGTATATAGCCAAGTTATTACCTCATACCCCTGCACATCGACTCAGTACTGGTACCCCGTGTATATAGCCAAGTTATTACCTCGTACCCCTGCACATCGACTCAGTACTGGTACCCCGTGTATATAGCCAAGTTATTACCTCGTACCCCTGCACATGGACTCAGTACTGGTACCCCGTGTATATAGCCAAGTTATTACCTCGTACCCCTGCACATGGACTCAGTACTGGTACCCCGTGTATATAGCCAAGTTATTACCTCGTAGCCCTGTACATCGACTCAGTACTGGTACCCCATGTATATAGCCAAGTTATTACCTCGTACCCCTGCACATCGACTCAGTACTGGTACCCCGTGTATATAGCCAAGTTATTACCTCGTAGCCCTGTACATCGACTCAGTACTGGTACCCCGTGTATATAGCCAAGTTATTACCTCGTACCCCTGTACATCGACTCAGTACTGGTACCCCGTGTATATAGCCAAGTTATTACCTCGTACCCCTGTACATCGACTCAGTACTGGGACCCCGTGTATATAGCCAAGTTATTACCTCGTACCCCTGCACATCGACTCAGTACTGGTACCCCGTGTATATAGCCAAGTTATTACCTCGTACCCCTGCACATGGACTCAGTACTGGTACCCTGTGTATATAGCCAAGTTATTACCTCGTACCCCTGCACATGGACTCAGTACTGGTACCCCCTGTATATAGCCAAGTTATTACCTCGTACCCCTGCACATCGACTCAGTACTTGTACCCCGTGTATATAGCCAAGTTATTACCTCGTACCCCTGCACATCGACTCAGTACTTGTACCCCGTGTATATAGCCAAGTTATTACCTCGTACCCCTGCACATCGACTCAGTACTGGTACCCCCTGTATATAGCCAAGTTATTACCTCGTACCCCTGCACATTGACTCAGTACTGGTACCCCGTGTATATAGCCAAGTTATTACCTCGTACCCCTGCACATTGACTCAGTACTGGTACCCCCTGTATATAGCCAAGTTATTACCTCGTACCCCTGCACATTGACTCAGTACTGGTACCCCGTGTATATAGCCAAGTTATCATGGACTCAGTACTGGTACCCTGTGTATATAGCCAAGTTATCATGGACTCAGTACTGGTACCCCGTGTATATAGCCAAGTTATCATGGACTCAGTACTGGTACCCTGTGTATATAGCCAAGTTATCATGGACTCAGTACTGGTACCCTGTGTATATAGCCAAGTTATTACCTCGTACCCCTGCACATGGACTCAGTACTGGTACCCCGTGTATATAGCCAAGTTATTACCTCGTACCCCTGCACATCGACTCGGTACTGGTACCCCGTGTATATAGCCAAGTTATCATGGACTCAGTACTGGTACCCTGTGTATATAGCCAAGTTATCGTGGACTCAGTACTGGTACCCTGTGTATATAGCCAAGTTATCGTGGACTCAGTACTGGTACCCCGTGTATATAGCCAAGTTATTGTTACTCACTGTGGATTTATTATTACTTTTATTATTACATGTTTTACTTTTCTATTATTTCTCTATTTTCTTTCTCTCTGCATTGGTGGGAAGGGGCCGTAATCATTTCACTGTTAGTCTACACCTGTTATTCACGAAGCATGTGACTAATACAATTTGATTTGACAAGTTCCCCGCATAAAACTACAGTGTTTTATTTATTAGGAAAGGTTTTTGTATAGCCTACCTTCTAACCCCTCTCTCCCCCGTAGGTAAGTTTGAGGAGAGGGAGGATCGGGTACCTAAGCTGGAGCAGCTGAACTCCCTGGGCTTCATGTGTTCTCTGAACCTTGTTCTCAACAAGAGAGACCTCATTAAGATGGAGCTGCTGCTGTTGGAGACGTTCAGCTGGAACCTGTGTATGCCCACCCCAGCCCACTTCATAGACCACTACCTCCAGGCCTCGGTGCAGGAGGGAGACCTGTACAACGGCTGGCCTCTCTCCTCCCTCTCCAAGACCAAAGGCTTTATGGACAAGTACACACACTACTTCCTGGAGGTGTCACTGCAAGGTGAGGGGTGATGAGGTGGATGGAGGGATTGAAGTAGAGGTGATGGATGGGGTGAAGGAATGAGAGCGCAGGGGGAAAGGTTCAAGATGGAGGGGGGGGGGGAAATGGACTGTTATGAAATATGTGTAGCCTCCTGTGTTCCTCTAGACCATTTCTAACAGTCTGTCTGTGTTCCTCTAGACCATGCATTCCTGAGTTTCCGTCCGTCTCAGGTGGCGGCGGCATGCGTAGCGGCGTCTCGTATCTGTCTCCAGATTTCTCCTAGCTGGACCACGTCTCTACACTTACTGACTGGATACACCTGGGACCACCTCACACACTGCATCAAACTCATGCTGCTGTAAGTCTCTCACTCACTCACAGACCTGGGACCACCTCACAGTGCTGCATTAAGTCTCTCACACAGACCAGACACACAGACCTGAGACCACCTCACAATGCTGCATTAAGTCTCTCACGGAGGCCAGACACACAGACCTGGGACCACCTCACAATGCTGCATTAAGTCTCTCACGGAGGCCAGACACACAGACCTGGGACCACCTCACAGTGCTGAATTAAGTCTCTCACACAGGCCAGACACACAGACCTGGGACCACCTCACAATGCTGCATTAAGTCTCTCACACAGGCCAGACACACAGACCTGGGACCAATTGCATGCTTGTATGCACAGACACACTCATATGCGTTTGACCGAGCCAGACTCCATGCTAATTCTCTCGTTGCTCATGTAGGTTAACTGTAAACACATGACAATCCACTGTCTGGTTTGTCAGATAATAACAAATGTCTTGTTCCACCCCCCTCACACTCTCTCTTTCTCTCGCTCTCTCTTTCTCTCTCTCTCTCTTTCTCTCTCGCTCTTTCTCTCTCTCTCTCTCTTTGTTCTCCACAGTGCCCATGACAACGATGTGAAGGAGGCCAACAAACCCAAATCCCCCCCTCCGCTGTCTTGTACCTCCTCCCTCCAGTCCCACCTCTCCCTGGTCCCAGCCATCCAGAGACCAGCTACTTCCACCGCCCAGCAGCTCCTCTTCCAGCCCGGCCCAGTGGGCTTCCCACACCTCTCCCAGCACTCCCCCTCCCTGTCCCAGCTCCACGCGCTAGCCGACTCCCAGGCTTTGGGGCCTGCTGTGGTCAACATGTCTCAGAACTTCCTCCAGAGCCACAGGATGGGGCTGCTCACTGGGGCCACCACCATGACCTCCACAGCAGGGGCCTTCCCCTCCTATCCTAGCCTGACTTCGGGGCTCCAGCCTGGGGCTCGGGTGGCACCGCTGGCCTTGCAGGGCCCCATCTCCATGCAGGTAGCCTTGGCAGCGGAGCCGCGACACTGCCTCAGCATGGCCTACAGTGGGGGGTACTTGGGGGGCGTGGGCTTCACGGCAGCGGGCTGCTTCGACAGGTGACGCCAGGAGACAGAGGAGAGGATGAACAGCAAACCACCCCGAGCCAGGGACAGGGAGCGCTGCACTCCTCTTCCATCACTTCTTCCTCCTCCTCTCCGCTCCCTGGCGGACCTCCTCTCTCTCTCCGTCAGCACCCCGTCCCCCTCCTCGGCCGCCCCGCGCCCTGCGCCCCCCGCCCTCAGACAGAGACAGAGAGAAAGACGGCTCAAACGCAAGCAAAGGTCAAAGGGCACCGATGATCCCGTGGAGGTCATCACACTGACATGACACCTGATGTCACTGACCTGATGTTGAACACTGTGTTCCGATCACGTCACAGGAACATGATGCCAAGGCAGTAGCATTAACACTGTGGAATGGTCACAGTATGTCCCTGGTTATGATACTGTTGTTATCACTGTGAACCAGAGGCTATGCAGCATGATTCCTCCTCAGTGCCTCCTGTGTTTTGACTTGAGTGATGGCTGTCTGTGAATTCAGCTGGTTGAAGATGAAGTGCTGCTGGATCTCTCTCACTGTAATCCAAAAATATGAACTCAACTGAAGAGGAGAAATAGGTCCGTAAAGTGACATCTTGAGCTGCTGACTTGGGAACAGTGGTATGAAGTGTTATAAGCAGACATACCAGTGAGTTGAAGAGGCTATGTCACTTGCTGTGTCAATATATAAAGGCCTTATATCACTGTTATGCCAGTGAATAAAGGGATTATGTCACTAAGTGCTACAGGGGCCATCTGAGAATTCCTACCCATAATCCTCTCTGGCTGGGGAGGGGAGGCCACAGAGTTCATTGTTCTGTCACAGCAGGGGAAATCCACAGTTTTAACATAGCTGTCATGTTTGGGCTGTTCCTCCCTCCATCCTTTCTTCTCCGTTCCTCCTTCCTTTTCACTTCTTCTTTTTTACAAAGTCTGCTCTTGTGGTGGAGCTCGCCTCATACCTGGGTCTTTGTTTCCGGGGGGTTCCAACCACCAAGTCTCATAGTGAGGGTTAAAAAGTAAAGCTTTGTTTTCCATGTCCCTCAACTCAAAGACTTCAAATGGAACTGAACTGACATGGAATGCTCATGGTAAAGGAGACTTGGAAACATAGAAATATAATTATTTGAATTCTAATTCTATGCTTGGAACTTTGTTGAAGTGTACATAATAAAATGCTGCTGCCTTCTGTATGAACTGATGGTTCTGTGTGAGCTGAAGACCAGACTTGTTTCCATGAACCACAGTGTATATCAGGGACTTGATGTAACAGATTACTTGAATACGATGCCATTGAAACGGGCCGTAGCTTTTTATTTAAATTGATACATTTGTTGTTGCTTTATTTAGTATTGTTGGTTAAGTTAGTTTAGTTTTCTTTGTTATACCAGCGCGTAAACACTCTATAAACATTGTTTATTTTTTAAAGTGCCCTTGTATAGCAACTGTATATTCAGGCTCAGGTTGTTAGGCTGAGAATATCCAATCAGCCGTCTCCTATTGCTGAGGTGACCCAATCAGCTGTCGTCTTACTCTGTGCTGTTGAGTGTGCTTTAAGTAGGTTCTAGCATGGCACCCAGGAGGGTTTCTCACGTCTCTACGTCTCTCAGAGGAAGAGGACCTGCCTTTTTAAATAATATACTAAGATATATAAACGCAGTACGTTTGCATCCTGGTGTAATCCGTGACCTTGCGGACGATGAAACACACAGCCCATCTGCAGCTTGTCATCACTAATTGCTTCCCACATTTCCAGCGCTGCATTTCCCAAAACTTCCACTTCCTGTTGGAACGTAAACACATCCAGATTCCCCTTCTGGGTCACAGGGGTTCTCGCTGGTTACCGTGGCGATGGCCAAAATATCTAAATCAGTCACACTCAGAAGGAGAGTTAGTTGGAACGTTACAGAATGTTCAGATAGAATGTGCTGTTTAAAGATCAGCTATGGGTATCTGTAGAGCAGGGAATAATGGAAGCTCTTATAAATCACATTTCTATCTGCAACGGTGTTAACTTCTGGTCCTTTTCTCTGTCGGTATCCTTTTGAATGTGTATATTTTACTATGGTTGTACCTTGTCCACAGCAGTTTTCAGACTTGAACTATGCCGATACTACTAAGGCAGTGTTCTGGTTCTCAGAACATGTTCTGATTCTCAATGTTCTAGGCTTAGATATCAGAGATTATTTAATTGAACGCTGTATGAAGCCTGCTTAAGCAAGTTCTGTCAAGCATCTGAAATGTGTCTAAACCTTTTATAGTGTAAACATACCTTACTGTAGTAAACATACCTTTGTAGACTACTGTATGTTGTTACTAGCAACCAAATGCATCTGACTGATCTCTTCTGAACTGTCAATCTACCCAGACCCACTCACTGTACGGTCATCACTACTTTTTATAGACAAAACGATTCTGTCTTTTTGTTAACTACAGTTAGTTATTTTATATTAATATTATTTTAGGTGGATTTTATTTACTCCTGTTCTTCCTGTGTTCATAAAGATGGATGCAGTCGGTGTGGAGTACAGGGTCATATTCATTAGGCACCAAACGAACAAACAGAGAGGGACTATATGAACTTAAGAATAAGAAAGCTTGTTTTCTGTTGCAAAACGTTTTGCTACGGTGTGACCTAATGAATACGACCCTGTTTTAGATAAAGAACTTGCTCTTCCCTCACTATAAAGCTACTTCTCCCTGAGGTCTCAATGTGCAATATGTTTTTGTTGGTAGAACCATAGCATTAGAATGATTCCTTCTATTTCTATGGCTAGAACTCTTCTCTCACAGCCATCACTGTCTTGTGTATAGCCCTCACCACTGCTTCATCTTTTATAACTTATTCTTTGACATTATTGTGTGATTTGACTCAACCTTGATCTTTGCTTCCAGAAAGCAGAGAGCTCTGAACACTGTGACCATGTTGCATATTGCAGCCTTGACTGGCGTACGTGTTGCTATAGCGATACTGTGCATTTTTCTATATCCACAGAACTGTGCTGAGAACAACACATACCAGACAACCACACTACTTGTCCAATGAAATGACACCAGAAATGTCCCACCTCTATTTTTGTAAAGATCTTTTTGTAGTCTTTGTTGATGTGACACGGAAAGATAAAGGGGGTTTCTTTTATCAGATGAGCCATTTAAATAAAAAAAATAAAAAATCAACTGAATATCTTCACTGAGTCGGTGTGTTCTTTTGTTTGATGATATTTAGGCTATTGATTTATCGTTTACAAGTAGCATACAAGTTATTGTACGGTATTATTGAGATATAGGCATGGCCTTACTGAAACAATGCTGCTTCACAAATGGTACCCTATTTCCTATATGGCTCTGGTCAAAAGGAGTGCACTATATATTTGGGATGCACTCTCTCTCTATATATATATATATACTTTTTTTTTAGGGGGTAGATCAGCTTTAATATTGCAGATGGATTGTAACTTCCATGAATGTAATTGTCTGCATCACTTCCAATCACCCATGTTTTTTTTTTTCTTGCAAATATATATATATATATATATATATATATATACAGTTAAAGTCAGAAGTTTACATACACTTAGGTTGGAGTAATTAAAACTTGTTTTCAACCACTCCACACATTTTTTGTTAACAAACTATAGTTTTGGCAGGTGTACTTTGTGCATGACACAAGTAATTTTTCCAACAATTGTTTACAGACAGATTATTTCACTTATAATTCACTGTATCACAATTCCAGTGGGTCAGAAGTTTACATACACTAAGTTGACTGTGCCTTTAAACAGCTTGGAAAATTCCATAAAATGATGTCATGGCTTTAGAAGCTTCTGATAGGCTAATTGACATCATTTGAGTCAATTGGAGGTGTACCTGTGGATGTATTTCAAGGCCTACCTCCAAACTCAGTGCCTCTTTGCTCTTTGTCATGGGAAAATCAAAAGAAATCAGCCAAGACCTCAGAAAAAGAATTGTAGACCTCCACAAGTCTGGTTCATACTTGGGAGCAATTTCCAAACGCCTGAAGGTACCACGTTCATCTGTACAAACAATAGTATGCAAGTATAAACACCATGGGATCACGCAGCTGTCATACCGCTCAGGAAGGAGATGCGTTCTGTCTCCTAGAGATGAACGTACTTTGGTGCGAAAAGTGCAAATATATCCCAGAACAACAGCAAAGGAACTTCTGAAGATGCTGGAGGAAACAGGTACAAAGGTATCTATATCGACATAACCTGAAAGGCCGCTCAGCAAGGAAGAAGCCACTGCTCCAAAACCGCCATAAAAAAGCCAGACTACGGTTTGCAACTGCACATGGGGACAAAGATCGTACTTTTTGTAGAAATGTCCTCTGGTCTGATTAAACAAAAATAGAACTGTTTGGCCATAATGACCATCGTTATGTTTGGAGGCAAAAGGGAAACGCTTGCAAGCCGAAGAACACCATCCCAACTGTGAAGAACAGGGGTGGCAGCATCATGCTGTGGGGGTGCTTTGCTGCAGGAGGGACTGGTGCACTTCACAAAATAGATGGCATCATGAGGAAAGAAAATTATGTGGATATATTGAAGCAACATCTCAAGACATCAGTCAGGAAGTTAAAGCTTGGTCGCAAATTGGTCTTCCAAATGGACAATGACCCCAAGCATACTTCCAAAGTTGTGGCAAAATGGCTTAAGGACAACAAAGTCAAGGTATTGGAGTGGCCATCACAAAGACCTGACCTCAATCCTATAGAAAATGTGTGGGCAGAACTGAAAAAGCGTGTGCGAGCAAGGAGGCCTACAAACCTGACTCAGTTACACCAGCTTTGTCAGGAGGAATGGGCCAAAATTCACCCAATTTATTGTGGGAAGCTTGTGGAAGGCTACCCGAAACGTTTGAACCAAGTTAAACAATTTAAAGGCAATGCTACCAAATACTAATTGAGTGTATGTAAACTTCTGACCCACTGGGAATGTGATGAAAGAAATAAAAGCTGAAATAAATCATTTTCTCTACTATTATTCTGACATTTCACATTCTTAAAATAAAGTGGTGATCCTAACTGACCTAAAACAGGGAATTTGTACTAGGATTAAATGTCAGGAATTGTGAAAAACTGAGTTTAAATGTATTTGGCTAAGGTGTATGTAAACTTCAGACTTCAACTGTATATATACATACATATATATACAAATACATATACATTTCCTTTTCTAAAATATATTTCCCTTTATTACTTTCCAACCCCACCACCCCTTCCCTAATTGGAGTAAACTAGTGAACAACAATGCTTAGGCCTCTACTTCC